TTAATTCTTTATATACTGATTCTGCTTGTTGTATTAAAATTACAGACTTTGGTACTTCTAGATTTACTAAGAAAAATAATAAAAACTCAGAAGATAAAGGTCTTGGTACTCCAATTTATGCTGCACCAGAAACATATCACGATGAATATACAAATGCAGGTGATGTTTATTCTTATGCCATCAGTGCTTGGGAATTGTTTTATCAAGAAGAACCTTATAAAGAATTTAAATCTTTGTTCGAAATTAAAGACTACGTTGAAAGTGGTAAAAGACTTGGTTTTGATGCATCTATTCCAATGTTATTGAAAGGACTTATTCAAGACTGTTGGAAACAAAACATTGGTGAACGACCTTCATTTGAACAAATTTGTAAAAGATTGGTTAAATTAGATGAAGACGCTATTAATCATCTTGAACTTGATAATGACGTTTCTGATGGAAGAATTGAAGAAATTATTAATAATAGAACTCAAAGAATGCAAGACCAATTGAATGAAATTAGTCATGACTAATCAATTAAAAATATTTGAGCTTTATTCATAAATCTTTTTTAAATATTTTTGTTATTTCTTTTTAATAATAAAAACAATAGAATAGAGAATAAAAGAACAATATATTTCCAGTCAAATAATGATAATTTATTACTAAAAGTAAAAGAAATGAATGAGAAAGGAGAAATGATTAAGAAATAAGAGATATTTATGAAACACTCTGAAACCAATAATGTACGTGTGATAAAATGAAGATAAAGAAAGGAAGAAATAAGTCAATTCAAACATTAAATAACAATAAAATGAAAATGAAAATAAGAAAATGAAAAATAATACACAACAAGAACAACAACAATTCCAAATAATAAAATAACAATATAATGAAGAAAATTATATTGAAAGAAATAGAGAAAGAAAAAGTATTGATAAGAAACAATATTGAATATAAAAATTCCAACAATGAAAAATAAAGAAATAAAGAATAAGAAGAAATGAATATTAAAAAACAAGAAATAAAAATAAAACAAAATTATTTAAAAAAAATTGGATTTTCATGTTATTTTGGAATAAATTCTTCCCAATCGAAATTCCAAACCTTTAAAACTCCTTTGTCTGGAACAAACCATCCTTGTTTTTCATAAACTTCTAAATCGAGATATGGTTGGTTGTCATGAGTTGGTCCAGCTTGGACATGGAATTGAAGAGTTTCAAATCCACTTTTATCACAAATCTTGGCATCCATTTGACCAAATGGTAATGGTTTTAATTCACTTGGTCTTAAGTCATAACGAGCAGCAATTGTAGCTCCTGGGTCTTGAAGTTCAGTAGTTGGGTCTTTTGATAATGGTTCATTTTTGTAGTCATTATATTTCATCATTTTTTTCATATCATTCATATTCATTACTTTTGGTGCATATTTTTCAAAGATTTTTGCTCTACAACATTCTGTTGGAGAGTTCCAGAATGCTTTGTTACCTTGGGCATTAGCAGTAGTATTACTCATGTCAATAGTTTCTTGAATTTCAGGTACATTAAATGAACCAAAATAACCAGTAGATTCTAATGAAGTAGAGAAGTCTTTATAGAATACGTAACCAGGGATTTGTTCACTAACAGTTAAAGTTCCTTCTGGAATACCAGATTCAACACTATTAAACAATTTATAATCAACAACAATCCATTGGTTATTATATGTTCCTGAATTTTGTTTTTCAAAAATATCATGGAATTCTTTACCATTCTTAGAGGCTCTAACTGCAAGAACAATTCTAATCCAATCAAGAAGTGTATTTGAATGAATATATTGATTTAATGTAGTATTGAAATTAGTGAAAGTAGTTTCAATAATAGCAAGATCATTAGAAGTCATATAAAAGTCATCAAATGAAAAAACAAATCCTGGATATGATGAGAAAGATACTTTCTTTGCTGATAAATATTCATTATTTAAGTTAATGTCAAAATGTTTCATTACACGATTCATTGCACCATACATAAACCATGCAACTTGTGATACATAAATGTCATGACTTTCTTTAACATATCTAATTAAACCTGAACATTTAGTTCTTAATTTCCAATTTAAGTGCCAATCAATATCATTATTAGCGTATTTAATAAACCATTTTGGACGTTCTATTCCATTAACTTCATCATCAGCAGGAAGTACTGCTGTAAGATCTAAAAGATCCCCAAATGATTCATAGAAGAACATATCATAAAAAGTCATACTTTCTGATGCCTTAACAGCAAAATTATGACCAGCTGTAACACCACGAACTTGTTCCATAATTAAATCAACAGAAACCCAATATTGATCTTCAGGATTAGCCTTAATTTGAGTATTAATATAATCAATATTATCTTGTAAATATTTATATAATGACTTTGGATAATCTTTTGCTTTTCCTAAATAATGATCAAGATACCATGCATTCATATTCTCTTTATGGAAATTAATATTGTTTCCAGAAAAGAACCCATCTGCAAATCCAGTTGCAAACATTTGTTCTTTATCACTATATTTCTTATTTGTATGAACACTTAGTTCATTATATCCTTTTGCTTCTTTACTTGTTACATAAGTTGCAATTGCAACTGCTTCTGTATCAGAAACGTATTTGATAGTCCAGTCTTCTCCAACATGATACAATGAAATAGTAATTGATGAAGTAGTTGCTAGACTAAGAGATATAAATAAAAGAACAACCAACATTAACCATTTCAAGTTCGTTCTTTTAGAATTTTCATTATTCTTTTCTTTTTCCTTTTTAAAGATCTAAGAACTATTTAATCATATCCCAAAAAATCTATGGATATTCAAATTAAATAACATAATTTCAATTCCAAAACATCAAATAGTAAACTAAATTAAGAGAAGATTTAAAATGAAAAATGGAATTATAAGAAACTGTAAAAATAGCAATTACTCATTAATAAAACTTTTAACTCATTAATAACTAAACCCAATGTTATCTTTATAAAAAATAACATATTAATAAATATTAAATAAAACTTTTATTTCTGATAAAACAAAAAATAAAATTTCAAGAAATAGTTTATTATTATATTTTGTTTTTAAAACAACAGATGATTATTGGTATTATCAAATCTTAATACATTTTTATAATTTTTGAATTACTAAAATAATTTCTTTTCGTTTTTTTTTTGAACTTTTCAGAAAAGATCTTAAAAAATAAAACTAAATGGCTCCATTAGAAAAGGTTTATTTAGCAAATGTACTTATCTTTGTTGATTCATTGGAAACAGTTTATAAATTAATGATGGTTAATTCTAAATGTTGTGATGCTGTAGAAATATTAAGAATAAATCCATTATTTTCAATTAAACCACCAATAGGACCAAAAGACTTTATTTATTTTGAAAAGGAGTTTCAAAAGGAATTGAATTTATTTCCAAACATCGAAACATTACAACTCCCACGTAAATTGTTAAAATCACATTTTCCTATTCCTCAAGGAGTTAAACGTATTATTTTAGTTCAACCAATTTCATCTGATAGAGAAATAGAAGCTATTGAAACAATAAAAGATAAAGTTGTTGAACTTACTATTCGTAGTATAACTAACCCAATTGACTTAAGTGAATTTAAACAATTAAGATGTGTTCGATTATTCCTTCAAAAACAAGGTAAGGTTAGTGATTTTTTTAAAAATAAACAAAAGAGAGTCGATTTTGTTCATATTACAATGTTATCAACAATAGACTTTGATTTTCTTCAGAATTCAAATAAGTACAACTTTGGTAAGACAGTTGTTCATTTATTTAACAAAGAATATTTAGTTAAGGTTGTTCAAATACCAAAAGTATTTGATCGTGTTACAGTATGTTTTAATTATTGGTATAGTGGAATAGATTCAAGGATTGTTGTACTACATATTGGAGATTCGCGTATTGGAGTATTAATTAATAACAAAGTTGATCAATTCTTCATCAACCAATACTATCCTTCTAAAATTAATATTATTGATGGTGATTTAACAAATACAAATCAATTTGTTATGGATTTTTCACAATGTCGTTCAGTTGTATCCTTACATTCTACTGCTGAATGTTATTTCATCCCACCAACAGGACTTCTTTCTTTGAAATCACAACAAATATTTCCACAATTAATCCATCTAAAAAGATTACATCTATATTCATTTTCAAGTGATATCATATTGCCAACAACAATTACTAAACTAGTCTTAAATAAGACTAACGGTAAAGTAAAAAATTTTGGTCTTTGTAAAGTAAAACGATTTGGTGGTAAATATTGTGAAGTAGATGGTATTTATGAATGCACAACATTAACTTATTTAAGATTACAAGGAACAACATTTACACAACCACTTACTCGATTAACTCATTTACATGAAATGTCTATCAAGTGCATTGGAATAACTCCATCGTTAGATAATTTTTACCCGTCTTCTCTTCAAACATTAAAATGTACAGTTAAACATATACCAAAATTTTGTGGTGTTTCTTCTTTAACTATAAGATCTTTTATTTCATCAGTAACATCATTAGATCTTTCTTTATATTCAAATCTTCATTATCTTAATCTCAAACAACTTCCATTCAATTCAATCACTCTTCCTCTTAATCTCCAGATTCTTGAACTTTTTTCAGTAGTATTTAAAGGAAGGTTAGACCTTTCACAATACTCATCTATTCTCTCTCTTTCAGTATATAACACTAATTCGTTAAAATTTGAACTAATTCTTCCACCATCCTTACAAAAGCTCTTTATCTTCTCCTCTAAATTTACAATCCCTAATCTCAATGACATTCCTTTGAAAGAATGTTCATTAAATTATTCTCCACTTTTTGATAGTACACCAATAAATAAAAGTGCTCGTATTGTGATTATTAATTGATATATATTTAATTGTTTTTATTACTTATTTTTCTCTATCATTTATTTCATAGAATTAATCAAACAAAAATTTCAAAGCAAACAATTAAAAAAGAAAAAGACCTATTTGAAAAAGTTTCAATCAATCATTTCTTAATATTATCATATCTAGCAATGACAGTAGCATGATTTCTTTCAAATGGTTCAAGTGAAACTTGTTCAAGTGGTTTAAATCCAAGTTTTCTTAACTCATCAACTTCATTAGCGAAAACAACATCAGATGGTGCAGTGGAATCAATACAATTAGCTTTGATTGATTCAATAATTAATCCACCTTTTTTCAAGAAATATTTAGCATTAAGTCCAATAATTTGAGCTTGATTTGGTTGAGCAACATCAGCAAAGATAACATCAACCATATCAACTAACATTCTATATTTTAATGGATAACGAGCATCTTCTATAATTGGAACAATGTTTTGTCTCTTCTTTGCAACACCAATAAGATCTCTTCCTGGTCTAAAGGCAAATTCAACAGCATAAACAGTACCTTTATCTCCAACAATATCTGATACATGAGAAACAGTTGTTCCTGATGCAGCTCCAATGTACAATACTTTAGCACCAGGGCAAATAGTCATATTATCAACTCCTTTCAAAATTGTGCATCCAAGTTTTGATCTATATGGATTCCATACTCTATATTCAATCTTGTTTCCTTCAGCATCTTCTTTAGCAATTCTCTTTTCACCATAAACTGATTCTCCTGGAACTCTGTTAATTGTTAATAATTGTTCTTCTTTACCTGATGCAATATAAATACCTGGGAATTTTGAATGTTCTCTAATTTGAACTCCTCCTTTAGATCCAATTCCTCCACGTCCTTTTGCTCCTCCTTTTGCTCCTCCACGTCCACCTCTTGGTGCACCTCTTCCTGCACTTCTTGGACCTTTATTATCACCACCAAATCCTCCTCTTCCATTGGATCCTCCACGTCCACCTCTTGGAGCTCCTCCACGTCCAGTATTTCTTCCTCTTCCTCTTCCACTCATTTTAGGGTAATGTTTATTTAGATTTCTATCTCCCTTTTATTTTTCTTCTTAAAACCTAAATAGTTTTTTTATTATTAAATATAGAATTTGTTTTTTAATTAAGGGTTTAAAAAATTAAACAATAATACTGTTTGTTCAACACACATCATTTGATAACCTCTTCTTATTTAAAAACATTATGTATCTCTATTTGTTATGTTATATTCATTGATTGTATTATTTTTATTATGTCTTAGTCTTTGTGTATTTTCTTTCTCAATACAAAAATATTATTTTTACTAACAAAAAAAGAGAAGTAACAAAAGAGTAAATATTTGAGAAAGAAAGATACAGGTTCCTCATAATAATAAGAGTACAAATAAGTAGTTCTTATTATTAGAACTGGAAGAGACTAAAGTGAACTTCCATGCTCATACAGTCATCGGTGCCTTTTTCTTTCTTTTCAAATATTATATTAATCCTCTCATATATAAAAAATATAAATTTTTAGTGACTATATATTTTTAGATTATATCTTTTAAATTTCAAAAGAACTTAATAAATTTAAAAAGAAAATGAGTAACGAAGAGCAAATTCCTGATAACTGGAATCAGCGAATTCAGATTGAACCAAAGATTTTATTAAATGAGATTAGATCAATAATAACATCTCCAGATTTTAGTAAAAAAACCGAACAGTATAAGTTAAATGTTTTATTTTTCCATTGTAAATTATTAGCATTCCATATATCTGAAGACTCATACGAAGTAATGAAAAAACCGAATGAAACTAATTGTTACTGCCCGAGAAATAAAACAGAAGAAATTCTTCTTACATTAAATCTTATTGAAGTGATTGTTGGAAAAGATGTATCTAAATTAGCTAAAACCCCTTATTTTGTTTTCTCAATTATCGCATACCAACATGCTCATTTAGAAACTTTGTTAATAAGAATGTACGAACGAATGATTAGTGCTATGTCAGGAGAATATGATCGTTGGTTATCATTTGCTTATACAATGATCAACTCAAAATATGACTCTCATTCATTACCAATTATTTCTCATATTACCAGCCGTCCATCACCACCACCAATATCAAAAACATTACTATATCACACTTTATTAAATACCCAACAATCATCACAACTAATAAATTCTAAAGTCCCAAGTTTTTACCAAGGTATTGCTCATTCACAATTATCTGTTCTTAGAAATTCTTCTAATCACCAACAGCAAGCAATACAATTATTACTTCCTTTAATAGAAACATCTCCTATAGCCAGATTTCATATTTCATTATTATATGCGGATATTAGACAACCATTAATTGCACTAAAAGTGTTATTGCCTTTATTAAAAGTTCCTATGCCAGCTCTTAATGTATACAAATTAACTGTTTTATTATTAATTTCATTAAAGAAAATAGAAACAGCAAATTCTACATTGTCAGTAGCAATCAGAAAGTATCCAAACGATTTATTCTTACGGGTTTGTCAATTACGTATAAAGCCTGATTTAGATATGCTTGTTGACCTCTTTAAACGTTTCAATGAACAAGCTGAGACACATGAATGTGATGTTGCTCCAAGTATTTTTCCTTCAGTCGGAAGTGATGTCCTTTCGTCAACCAGAAGTTCTGCAAGAAGCACTGCTGGTGACCAAGCAAGCAGAGTATCTTCTTTAGCATTTGCTCAATCTAAATTAACATTTACTGAACGTGTATCTGTTTATAGTATCTTTGGAAGAAATGTTCCTGCTGCTTTATGGAAAGAGGCTGTTTTAGTGTTTAACGCTTTTAATATGAAAGAAGATATTAAGAAGTGCATCCAAGAAGGAGAAAAAGTTGCATGTTTAGAAGACTCAAATGATTTAGATAGGAGAATTGGATTAGAACCAGTTCTACCTTCAGAATTCCATATGATGAGAGCAGTGTTATGTGGAGAAACAATTCAAATTGATGAATTACAAAAAGCAAAAATTGAAGGAAGTTGTGATGCAGCATTTGCATTAGTGAAAGAGAAAAATAAGGAGAATCTTAATAATAATGATAAAGAATGTCTTATTATTGAAATTCAAAGCTATTTAAAACAAAAACCATTTGATCATAACGCATGGGAATTAATGGGTAATTTATACGAACAACTTGGAAACGAAAATAAGGCTTGTGATTGTTTTGAATTAGCAATTAAGTTAAAAGATACTGAGCCATTACTTCCATTTAGTTGTATTGAAAGAACTGCTATTTTAAATTGAAAACATTTTATTTTAATAAAAAACATTTTAGTTTTTTTGTTATAGGGTTTTTAATGTTTTTGAAAGAAAGAAAAGAGTCATTGAAAAAATAAATGGCACTTCAATACAAACAAGCCGCCAAAGTTATTGATAATGTATTAAAGAAGAAAGCAAGTATTAAAACATCTATATACCAAAATAATGAAATAAAAAATAAAAAGATTATTTTAGCAATTGTATCAAAAACATTAGCAAATATGGAAACCATTGAAAAACTTCTTTGTGACATCAAAGACTTTAGAACAATCAAACAAAAAACAATGTTAATGGTAATGTTAAATGATTATATTACTAATGGTAAAATTAGTGGAGGAGGGGCTATCAAATCAGTTATTTTAAAAAATAAAGAAAAAATACCTATTCTTGAGAAGAAACAAAAAGAGCAAGAAACATTTAAATACTACCGATTAAATACATTACGTACAAAAGTATTTCCATCAATTTCTAATAAGGTTGAACCTGATAAATTTATTCCAAATTTATATAAATTAACACCACCTCTTTCTTTACCAATTGACACTTTATTATCACAAGACAAACCAAGTTGTTTTCCTGCATTTATTTTAAATCCACCTGAAAATAGTATATGTATTGATGCATGTGCTGCACCAGGAAATAAAACAACTCATTTAGCAACAATTATGAATAACACAGGTATTATTTATGCATTTGATAAAGATATAAAACGAGCTGAATTATTAAGAACTACAGTAAAGAATTATCAAGCAACAAACATTGAAGTTATTTGTGGGGATTTTCTTCAAAGTGACATTGAAGATATTCGTTTTGAGAATGTTACTCATATTTTATGTGATCCATCATGTTCAGGGAGTGGTATTCTTGAGAGACAATTAACAAAAGAAAAAAGAGATCCTGCTCGATTAAGAATGTTAAGTTCATTTCAAACAAAAATTGTTTCTCATGCAATGAAATTTAAGAATGTCCAACGTATTACATATTCAACGTGCAGTGTTAATAATGAAGAAAATGAATGTGTTGTGAAAGCTGTATTAGATGAAAATCCATCATTTAGATTAGAACCAGCTTTTCCACAATGGCAAAGAAGAGGTATTGCTATTGATGATAGTTACCCATATGAAAATTGTATTCGAGTTGATCCACATGAAGATCATATGACTGGATTTTTTGTTGCTTTATTTGTAAGGAAATAATCAAAAATTGAATTTTTTTAATAACCATTTCTCTTACAGTTTCAATCATTTCCATTGTAATATATCATCTATAACATCTTCATTGTCATTTGTTGTACCTTGTTCTTCTTCATTCTTATCTTCAACAAATACAATTGATTGTTTTATCAAATTACTTGCTTCTTTAACATAATCATCTCTTACTTCTTTGTCCAAGTATAACCGAGCTAATGCTTCACTTAAACGAATCATAGACTCTAATTGCCTAACCGTCATACGGAATGGATTTGATTCTTTTCCTGTCATATCACTTTTACGTAAATCAGCAAATGTTTTTGCTAAAAGTTCTTTTGCTTCTTGTGTTAATTGGGGTGTAATTGTTTTGGCGTGTCGAATGTATAACTTCAGGTCATTACTAGAAACAGGAGGATGTAATGCAGCAGATTTAAATTGATGGACACTAACAATATGCTCTGCAATTCTTCTATCACTTTCTTCATTTGGTTCATCTAACACAACAAAGAATAAATCAAAACGAGACATTAATGCATCTCCAATATTTAAATTTGATTTTAACGATCTGTTAGAATCATATCTCCCTTTTAATGGATTTGCTGCTGCAAGAACAGCAGCACGAGCATTAAGTGTAGCATGTAAACCTCCTTTTGCAATTGAAATTGTTTGTTGTTCCATAGCTTCATGCAATGCAACTTGATTGAAATAATCCATTTTATCAAATTCATCAATACAACAAACTCCATTATCAGCCAACATCATTGCTCCAGCTTCAATGTTGAAATCACCTGTTTCTGGATCTTTTAATACCGCGGCTGTTAAACCAGCTGCACTACTTGCCTTTCCAGAAGTATATATACAACGAGGATGAATTGTAGACACACATTTTAAGAATTGAGACTTTGCAGTTGATGGATCTCCAATAACACAAATATTAATATCTCCTCTCAATGCAATTCCTTCTTTTGTTGTTTTATGAACACCACCAAATAATAATAATAAAATACCTTTTTTTATATTTTCATGTCCAAAAATATTTGGGGCAAATGAATTGATAAACATTTGAAAAACATCAGGATGTGAACTAATTTCTTTTACTTTTTCTAATTCTTCTTTTGTTAATGGTTTATCAATTTCGTTATTAACAGATTTTTCACTTTGTTGTATACAATTACAAATAAAAGATAGTTTATATACTAACTCTCTTACACCTAAATCATTTAATCCTTTAATTCCTTGTTCTAATTCTCCTGGTCGTTTTTTTTCTTTTTCTTGAACTGCGGTAACATTTCTACCAACTGAAAGTCTTGTTGTATCAGGTGCAGCAATTAATATTCCTATAAATGTACACGTTTGACCAGGTCGTACTTGTTCTACATTTTCTCCTCTTAAAATTACATCAATTGATCGAGGTAAGCAACCACTTGGAATTTCATTTGAACATTCTTGAACTTTAACCTTCTGCCAATCTGTAAATGTTGATTTGTCAAGAAGTAACTGGAATCGAGATGTATTTGTACAACCAGATCCTAAACAACGCATTGGTTGGGTATATTTAAATTGTTGAGGAATAGGTGGTGATTCCCATCCACAGTCTAAACATTTAAAAACACCTTCGATTAGTTCAGGACGAACTTCAGAAGAACGAGTAATTGTTCCATAAAAAGAGGTTAAACACCCTACAAGATTTGAATGAAGTTTTCTAACAGTAACTGAGTTAGGTAAATTATAAAATCCAATTGCATCAATAGTATCTTTTAACGGGAAAATACCATTTATTTGAAGATAGTATTTATTACCAATGCTTGCAGCAACAGCAACTAATACCTTTTCAAAACGATAGTATTGATTTTGAAGAGCACCAGATACATCTTCATCAAATTTTTGAAGGTCATTAAAATCAATAAATAGTGTTGTCCGTTCATTTTCAATTAGTAAATGAATTTCAGTTTCATATTTACTCATTTGATACTGTTTAATAAATTCATCAAACTTTTCAGAAACCAAATCTGCTATTTCATCACGTATCTTTGCTACTCCTTCATTAATCTCTGTTGGTGGAAGAACAGCTTGTTGAGCTTTCGGGTCAGTCTCTTCCATTATTCTATTTGTAGTTTTTCATTTTTTAAGTTTTTCTATGTTAATAAAAACATTTTTGTTTGATTGAATCTTGTTTTTAAAAACTTTATTTTGTCACATAATCAATTATTGTGTTATATAAAACATAATAAATGTGAAAATAAAAACAAATTTTATTTTAGAGGCTACAATTTAGTTAAACAATAGAAAAAAGAGTGAGGAAGAAGTTGTTAGAAAAAAGTTTTAACGACAAAAGGATTTACAACTAATAAAGTAGTTCTTTAATTAAAAAATAACGAAGAAACAAAGGACATTTGACGTTTTCATGACTTAATTCTTTTTGAAATAAACCTAGAGTTTTAAACAACCAAAGTCACAATATTAAGAAGTTCAAAATAGAGAGTTATGATAAGAAACAGATATTGTAGTAAAAGAAATTATCAATCCAAAGGAAGAGAATTTTGTATTAGTTTATTGAATTAATACAAAGAGATTGAATTACAGTTAAATGAAAGAAAAGAAATAAGTAAAAAAATATGTGAAATAAAAGAATCATTTGTAATTAATGGCGTAATGAATCTATATCATAAATTCTATTGTTATCTTTCTTTACTTTATAGATTCTTACCATCCAATGAACTGAGGTAAATACCTCTTCTAAATGGTCTAATTCGATGTCTTTATAACCGATTTCTTTATTTCTTACTCTATCAAATCCAGTTGGTTTATTTCTTTCTGTCATTAATTCACCAAATCGGTAATAACATAATTTGTACATTAAAGAGTTTTTCATCGTTGATGTAACATTTGCCCCAACTTCTAATTCATGACTTGTTTTAGAATAATAATCACTTTCTTTAATAGTTGGATCAATTGTTCCACCAATTCTAACCATCCAAAGGAATTTATTAATATCATCTCCACTAAATCCAATAACACCACCAAATATTACAAGAACATAATCAACATCAAGTTCTTTCAAAATTTTATAACTTTCTTTTTCTGATTTTGCAAATGCACCTCCAACAAGTGCAATATGTGAATTATTCCATGTATTGTTATCTACAATAGTAGTTCTATTGGCAACAGCAGCAAGTTGATATCCATAATCCCACCAACTCATAATTTTAGAGTCTTTAGGAGTATTTTGATTTAACCATCTATAAGAATCTCTCAGATCATCAAAAACTATAAAGGAATTATCTCCTGTAGGCACTTTCATTACAATTGATGGACTAGAATAACTTTCTCTTCCAACAAATAAACAATGATTAACATATGATAATAGACATAATGATAAAACCATAAAAATGAAAATTCCTACATTTTGCATTAAAGAATAATTAGAACTACTTGTTTGTTTCTTTTTACTTGATACTTTTTTAGTTTGTTCTTGACTTTCTTCTTTAAAAATCACTTTAACAACAGAACTATACATTTCACTAATACCAATAGATGCAACAATACAAGCACCAGTAGATAATATCAAAATTAAACGAGACATAACTCCAGAGAAATAAACTGTTGTCATTACAAATAAAATAGTGAAAATATTTTCATCTGTTATATTCTTTAACATAAAGTAAATTCCTAATGGAATAAAGAAGCAAACTATATGAAGATCAAAGAAAAATGTTCCCCATGACGTTGGTTGATGTTCTGAAACAGATGCAATAATTGGAATATGTTCTTTAGCATAAGTAGGATCAAGAAGAGCATAAAATCTACCAGTCCAAGGAGAAATCTTACCAGTAAGAGTTAACACTGTAATAATAAGAATACCAGTTATAATACTTGTCATAATACATTTAATATAAAATTTTTTAAATTGTTGTTCAGATAATTTTGATTTAATCCAGCTAAAGAAAACATATATTTGAATAAATATAAATACAAACATTGATGCCATATGTTCAGATGAACGAATAGGTTGGAGTCCAATAAAAGAAACTTGCATTGATAATAAAATACCAATAACATAAAATGTTGTATATGCAGTATATAATCTATTACTAAATCTTCCAAAGACTAATAATAAGAATGCATGTAATGGAATTAAGTTAATTATAAACACATAAGCACCCCATGAAAGTGCCATATAATAATATGCAAGTGCACATAAAGCTGCTTTAATTGGACTTCCACTTTTAACTGCTCGAATCCAAAGATAAAATGTTAATAATAAAGCAAAAATAGAAATGCATTCATTATCATAACTTCCTGCAACTGAACGACTGATATAACCGGGAATAATAGCAATTAATAATGCAGCAATTAATGCAGCTTTTTGTGAAGCAATTTCAGTAGTCATTCTATAACCTACAAGGACAGTAAGTCCAGAAAAAAATGGTCCCATAAATACACAAATCTCTTTTATATCAACTGATAAGTGTAAAAATTCAAGTACCCTAAAGAAAAATACTGAGGTATACATTAATCCAGGATAAACAGTAACACCTACAATACGTCCTAAAGGATACCAAGCAGTTTCATCAAACCAATTATTAAATGCATCTAATCCATTTGCTAATAAATATTTACTGGCTCGATAATTGAAATATGGATCAAATTCATGAATAACACTTTCATATCTTAATACAGAATAAAGTCTAATTAATACTGCGATAACTACACAAATAAGAACATACAATCCTCTCACAGCTGTTGACTGAAGAAATGATTTAACCATTTCCATTTGTCAAATCTACAACTATTTTTTTTTAAGTTTTTTTTCAGATTTTTATTTTTTTTATTTATTTATGTTATTATAAAATTAATTTTTTTAAAACATTTTCACATTCAATAATAAAGATAAAAACAATAAATTATTATACCATCACAATTGTTATTTAATAAAAAAATAAAAAAAAAAAGATGATAAGAATATGAAAATGATTATTTGATATGGTTATTTTAGAAGACGTATTTTTGAAGAATATTGTTTTATACTTACCTACTTTTCATGATATTTCAACTTTTATTCGTATTAATAAAAAGGCAAATCAAATAATTAAAACATTATTTATTAATCCATACTTTACATCATTAATAAATTGTGAAAGTGATATTAAATTATTAAAAATTTTATTTTATTTTCCTATGATACAAACAGTACAAGTTCAATATCATGATTTAGGTTATATAGAATCAACATTAAAAGGTATTGAACAAATTTTTATTCAATACCGAATTGATGATGACTTAAGTCAATTTAATGATATGACTTTTCTATATCCCCGTTTAATTAATTATAAAGGAGATATTAAAAAAATTCAAAATCAAATGGATAAACTTCAACGAATAACATTAATTAATAGCTCAACATGTGACTTAAAATATATTATTAACCATATATCATTTTTTCCTCATTTAAAACAAATAACAATTTGTCTGGATTATGGTAGTGATACTATTGATATAGAAAAATATATTAAACAATTAATAGAATTAAGTATTGATGTAAATATTAATTATGAATCAATTGAAGATTTTGAATTTATTGAATCTCTTAGAAATAAAGTTCCATCATCTGTAAAACATTTCTTTTATTCATTTTGTCCTTTTTCAGTTGTTGATTCTTCGATATTTGTTTTTTTGAATTCAATTTCTTCATACTTTTATGATAGTTATTTAACAGAAAATGCATCTTCCTTTCAACAATATTATTATCCAATGGATTATAAAGGATTTTTAATTGCTTCTTATTATCCTTTCAATTCTTTAACTTCCTTAACAATAAAAACACCTACTCCAACTATTCCTACTATTGGTTTATCTCCTTCTTTAATTGAACTTACTTTCCCATCAGATTTTATTACTCCAAACCTTCCAAACCTTTCAACATTAACTCATCTTCATTCATTATCATTAGGAATACTTAAAACACATTTAAAATTTCCATTATCACTTACATCATTAACAATAAGTCATTCAGAAACTTGTTTCGAATGTCCTTCTAATTTACAGGTATTAAACTTGTCTTCTTATACAAAAAATTTTAAAATAAATAAAACACTTCAAAGTCTTTCAATTAATAAGTTAAATAGTTCAATGAATATTCCACATACTTTACAAAATCTTTCAATTAAATGTATTGCAAATATAAGTTTATGTACTTCAATTACTTGTCTTAGTATTTTTATTGAAAAAGTTGTTGTTATTGATGACTTTTTTATAGAAATATTTGGTAAATATATATTTAGATATCCTGTCCCTCCTTTATTAAAACAATTGTCTATTTTGAATTGTAGACGTGTTGATGCAGTTACTTTACCTTCGTCTATTACTTCTCTAAATATTACAATGAATGCAGATAAACAAATACCAAAAGATATTCCAAAATTGTTAAAAATTCCAAAAACTATTCCAAAAGTTTCTATTTTATTTCAATTTGAAAATTTTCAAAGATATAATATTTTTCATAAAATTTTTGAAAATAATGCTCTTCAAGTTGTTAGAAATATTTATAGAACTATAAGTTCTATTTCACTTGAGAGATGTTCTTCTTGTGATTTGGAAGAGTAATTTGAATCTCATCAATAATTTGTAAATGGGTTTTCACTTCTTTTTTTAATTATTTTTTGTTTTTCTTTCTAATAAATTATTAGCCTTAAATGATAGCTATTAATTATTATCATTTCTATATATTTTTAAATTCATTCATACTTATGAAAATTTTAAGTTTAACCTTATTGTGTCTTTTTGTTTTTCATTCAATAAATACCGTTCAAGCTTTGTCTTTATTTTTCTTTTTTTTTTTATGAGAATTTAACTCTTTTTTTGAATTAAAAACGAAATAAATACATTTTTAATAATCCAAAAAGGTAATATTTTTATGTCTTAAATTTTTTATGATTCATATTTTTGTTTACAATTATTATCATCATATAAATGAAAAATTCATTAATTTTTAAATGAAATTGGAAGTATTAGTAGTAAGTGAATTATAACGATTAATTTATGAATAAAATAAAAAAATTTATTTGTTTTACTACTGAAATGCTTCTTTGTTTATACTCAATAACAGAGTCTAGTATTATGAATTAATAACTAGGTGATATATATAATTCCATTACTTGATTATTTGAAGTAATGATAAAGTTAAAACAAATAAATAGAGTTTAAAATAAAAATCTCTTGTAATTATATAAGTCTTTAAGAAGATGTTAAAACTTATTCATATTATTATTGTTATTCAATAATTTATTAATAATACTTAAATACAAAACAAAAAGGATATTCAACAAATTAAAATATACATAAATTATTTAATCATAAATTGAACTTCTATTCTATATATACAATAACAACAATTAAATATCATTATTAATATTAATGGAAGGTACTTAAAAAAGTTCTATAGAAAAATATTTAGAAAATAATTTATATAACTAAAAAGACTAATGAAATACTATTTTTTGATTCACATTAACATAATTCTCAGTACTTTCATTATATAAACCAATTGGAAGATTCTTATTTATTTAAAGAAAGTTCTTAGTTTTTTAAGTCATTTATCTTTATGAATCAACAAATAAAACAGTTAAACAAGGAGTTATTTGAAATTGAGAAGACGTTATTATCAATAATAATCATTACATAAATGTAATAGTAAATAAAACACACAAAAAAATAAATACAACTAAAAAAGAACTTAAAAATCAATCTGTATTACAATGAATGTAAAACTTATTGTAATGATTGTTTTATTATGCATAGCCTTTATTACCTCTTTAATCACAGGAATATTATTTGGACCAATTATAGGAGTATGTACATTTTTATCATTTGGAATATCAATAAGTATTTTATATCCATTTTGTTCAACATTCTTGAACAATGTAATTAATCCACGACCGCCAAAACATCAACACTAATTTATTATTTAACTAAATTTAAATTTTTGTATTTCCTAAATAAGAATCAAACGAAAGAAAAGACTGTAATCAATAATTCAAAAATTATCCATCTTGTCCAAATTGTTCAGCCCATTCACGATGTCTATTAACATCCTCTACAGAAATACTTGATCGTGAGTTTTTGATTGATTTCATAAAGTCCATCATTGTTACTGGTGGAACAACTAATTTACTTCCTTCAATTTGTTTCCAATTCATTTCCATAGCACCTTTATCTCCAGGACTACATGGTGTAACTAAATCATTTTGTATTTCTCCAGTGATTGGAGATGGTCCAGTTACATATTTAAAGTGAGTAGCAGCTTGTAACGTACGTACAGGTTGGTAAATAGCATCTTTACAAAGAGTAGCAATATCACTTCCAGAAAATAAATCAGTTTGTTCTCCAAGTATTTTAAAATCGTTGTCAGTTAATTGATTAGGTAATTTACCTAAATTCCATTTAATCATTTTAGCACGTGCTGATGCATCAGGAAGTCCAATATAAATCCTTTTTTCAAAACGTCTTCTAATAGCAGTATCCAATTGCCATGGAATATTTGTTGCTCCGAGCATTAATACCCCTTCCATAGAATTACCTACACCATTCATTTGAACTAAGAATTCAGTTTTAACACGTCTACTTGCTTCAGTCTCTCCATCTCCACGAGAACTACATAACGAATCAACTTCATCAACAAATATAATACTTGGCTTATTTTTTCTAGCTGTTTCAAATAATTCTTTAACCATTTTTTCTGATTCACCTAAATATTTACTAAGTAATGATGATGCAGAAACTGAATAAAATGTAGAATCAGCTTCAGTAGCAACTGCCTTTGCTAAAAATGACTTACCTGTACCAGGTGGTCCAAACAACAAAATCCCAGTCCATGGTTTTCTTTTATCAGTAAATAATTGTGGAAATTTAATAGGTAAAATAACTGCTTCTTGTAAAGCTTCTTTTGCTTTTTCTAAACCAATAACATCTTCCCAATGTACATTCGGTTTTTCTTTTAATACAGCATTCCCAACAGCATTACTACGAGCTTTATTTTCTGCGTCTTCTTCTTTATCTGGGTCATCTGATTTAACTCTTTCTCCACTTATCATTCTTTTTAAATATTCTGCCCGTTCAACATATTCTTTCACTCGTTTATTAATGATATTAACAACTTTTTCATTTTTTTCAGTTTTTTTATGTGCAACCAAACAGTCAATAGCCTTCTTATAATATTCTAATGCTTCTTTAGAATTTCCTTTTTCATCTTCCTCCATTGCTTTCTTAGAAAATTCCTTTCCTTTATCAAGTAACGATGTCATGTCTTAATTCTTTTTGTTTAACAGATCCGTTTCAATTTTCTAGTTTTCCATTCTATCTCTTATTCCTCACCTTTTCATTTAAACATCAAAAAAAAAAACATCTCAACCTTAAAATCATAGATTGTTATTTAAAACAAATTCTTTTCTATAAGTTCATCTATCTTACCATATCCTTCTGTGAATACATTATTCACAACTACTGCATCTGCTTCTTTTTCTCCTTCCATTTCAATAAGTGCATTCTTTAAACGAACTTGAACTTGTTCTTCTGTTTCTGTACCTCTTGAACGTAAACGTTGTTCTAAAATTTCCATTGAAGGAGGTGCAATAAACAAAAAGAATGCTGCAACTTTACCTCTAATTTGTCTACTTCCTTGAAGATCAATATCAAGAATTGCAATTTGATTATTATTAGCAATGCGTTCAATTTCCATTTTTGAAGTACCATAGAAGGCTGTATGAACATGGGCATGTTCAATAAATTTATCTTCTTCAATCATTTTCTTCATTTCTTCTTCTTCAATAAAGTAATAATCAACGCCATTTTGTTCTTTACCTCTTGGTTTTCTTGTTGTGTGTGAAATACTAAATGAAAATTTCCCAGGAAATTTTTCCATAAGGTGATGCATTATTGTTGATTTACCTGCTCCACTTGGACCAAAAAGAACAAGAACCTGATATTTACCCATTACCTGTTTTCTTTTTATTAATTTTAATCTTTTTTCAGTTCCTTTTTTTATAACAACATGACTCTTGCTTATGTTATTTTTTTTTTTTACTTTATTGTGAAGGTATGAATGACACAAAAGAAACAAAAATGTCTGATAGAAACACTTAACGAATTGTTGTTTTACATCCTATCAATTAATTTTTTCTCACTCATTTCATGAAATTTGGAAAGTTTCAAAATATATCTAAATAAAGAATAGTGTAGTCTTAAAATAAAGTGATTAATAAAAATTTACGATACATCACAATTAGAACTGAGTAATTAAACGTCATCTTTCGGGATTTAATTCTATTAAAAGAATATAAGAAGAAAAATAAAAACAAAAACAAGTATAAGACGAAAATACAAAAAAAAAATGATAAAATAATAAATTATTAATAAAATGATACAAAAAAAAGAAATAAAAAGGTAGAAATACCAAAAAAAAAATAAAGAAAGAACTTAAAAATATAGGTTTAATATAAATGGAAGTAGAACTTACATTGAAAATATGTATAGTTGGAGATGAAAAATGTGGTAAAACATCTCTTACCCGTAGGTTTATTGGAGAAGAATTTAAAGAAGAGGTTGAACCTTTTCCAGAGAATTTAGTTTGTTAAAATAACACTAATTATTATTTAATAAGGAAATAAGATAGATGATAATAGTTATTATTAACACGTTATAAAAAAGTAATTAGAAATTAATTTTGTTTAGATTACTAAAGATATTACTTATGAAGGTAAAAAAATTACATTAAATTTAATGGATCCATTAGATGATGGAACTGGAACTACTGCATCTTTTTATAACCATGCTAATTGTATTATTGCATTATTTGATCTTAGTAACAAAGACTCACTTCAAAATTGTAAAAATTGGTTATCATATGGTGATAGATATGTTGATAATGGTTATGTAAAAGGTGTTGTTGGAGTTAAGAGTGATCTTGAACGAGAAGTTACCAAAGAAGAAGCAGAAGAAGTTGCCAAAGGATTAAATTGTGAATATTTTGAAGTATCTAATAAAACAGGGGAAGGATGTACTGAAGTATATGATACTCTTTTAAAAGAATTATATGAGAAATTTATTGCACCAACTGATAAGGGTAATGATAAGAAAAGTCAGAAAAAAGGAGGTAAGAAAGAAAAGAGTGAAAAAAAGAAATGTGTTTTCCTTTAAAACAATTTTCTTTCATTATTTATTTTTCAAATCGTTTTTGTTCATTCATCGTTGTTTTTTACTTCAACTTAATAATTATTACAAGAAGGAGTTATTTATAATAATAGCGTTTGAGTGTATTTTTAATACTTCTTTTTTATTTCTTTTTTTTTGAAAATATTTATTTTTAAATTCAATAACCAAAATAATAATGTATTAAACAAACTTTATATTTTAATTATTGAATTATTATTATCATAATTATTTAAAATTATTTGCTGTAATAAAAAATAATTCAAAAAGTTATTATTACATGGAGTTTCAAAAAAGAAAAAAACATTTCTATTATTGTTATTGCTAGACTAGTTAAATACTGTGTCATCATAACATTATGGAATATCATCACTGTGAATAAAATAATGTGGTAACTAAGT